GCGTCGGTTTGTGCAACAACGGCGGTAAAACCATCGTGTCGCTCCGCCATTCGCTTACTTTATTTCTCACAAACCTTTCACAACAAAGCACCATATCCTTTTCAGGCTTTTCAAATAAAACATGTAATAACTATAAATGGCGCTAACACCCTGGTTTAGCTATCCATCTGATCCTCTATGATGCCTCATGATGTACAGGCCAATCTCTAAATTACCATTAATTGCTAAGTTTCTAGAAAGGGTTGTGACTAAGCAACTTATAACAGTTCTGGATAAACAATGCATTTTGATAGGTTTCCGTTTGGCTTTCGTAGAGTTCATTCCATGGAAACAGCTTATCTTATGGTCTCTAGTAACATTTTGATGAGTAACGATGCAGGAAATGCTTTGTTTTGTTGATGTTGGACCTCACATTGGCATTTGACACCGTTTACTACCACATCCTGCTTGAAAGGCTCAACTATTGGGTTGGTGTATCTAGAACTGCCTTGGAGTGGTTCTATCTACATCACCTGTGGTTTTTCTGTGGTGGTCTCTAATTTTAGGTTATCCTCTACCTCCCTTACTTATGGCGTCCCTCAAGATTTGGTTTTGGGTGCTTTATTGTTAAATATATCTTCTCCCCTGTCAGCATATAATGGGCTCCTTTGAGGACATTTTCTGTCACTGTTATGGTGATGACATTCAGTTGTTTATGTGTCTAAGCAAAGTTTCCCTGGATCGTCTGCAGGTTGTGCAAAACACTGCAGCTAGGCTTTGACCAGATCCTCTAAGTCACAGGTGTCGAGGGCTGGTTTCCTGCACTTTTTAGATGTGTCCTTGATCCAACACATATGGTACCAGCACATATTTCTGATCTTCTACAGCCCTATGTCCCTAGCAGGTCACTGAGATGACCTAATCAGGGCCTACTTGCTATACAACACACAAGGATGAGAACTAAGGGTGATAGAGCTTTGCCACTGTGGAACTTTCTCCCTCTAAGTTTAACAACTGTGGACTCAGTAGCACTTCGTGACTCTGTCGAGAAAGGTGCTATATTAATAATTTTCTTCTTTATTTATTTATTTATTTAAAATTAAACTCAAATTTCACAATAATGTTAAACTGTAGTCAAACTCGGCCAATGATTATAACAGAAATAAAAGACAACAGGATTTGCACTAAACGTGATCTCTATATAATCCATATGTATGGCTCTAAAAGCACCTTACAGAGAAAAACCCAACAATCATATGACCCCTATGAGCAAGCACTTTGGCAAGAGTGGAGAGAGGAGGAAAAACTCCCTTTTAACAGGAAGAAACCTCCTGTAGATCCAGGCTTAGGGAGGGGCGGCCATCTGCTCCGACTGGGTGGGTGAGGGGAGGAAGACAGGACAAGGACATGCTGTGGAAGAGAGCCAGAAATGAATATGAATTCAATTCAGTGAGTTGTATAAAAACATAATGAGTAAAACAGGTTAGTAAAGAGGAAACACAGCCTTGACCTATTGCAGCATAACTAAGGATAAAATCTGAATATCATTATTGTCATTGTAACATACAACAAATTAAGAGCACTCTCTGCGGTGTCAGAAACAAAAAGTTATATAAATTTATAAAAATAGGTAGAACATGGTAATTCAATATAATAAATAACTAAACCTTATTCAACATAAACTCTGTTGCACAGGATTTCATCCGTTGCACTGTACTTGTCGGATTGTGAAGAATGTATAATGTAAATCCAATTTTTCTATCATGGAACCCTGTGGAAGTCTATTATTAACCTTAATGTATAAAGAGGACTCTCAATTTACATGAACAACTTGGAGTCTATTAAACCAAACCACCACAGTGCAGTACCTTTAATACTTGCAACATGCTCTAATTGATCAAACACTGCAGTAAAGTCTAGCAGGACAAGCACAGAGATGAGTCCACTGTCAGAGGCCATAAGAAGATCATTTGTAACCTTCACTGAAGCTGTTTCTGTACAGCAATGAGCTCTGAAACCTGACAGAAACTCTTCAAATAAGCCATTCCTTTGCAGATGATCAGCAAGCTGTTACAACTACTCTTTTGAGACTTTTTTTAGATTAAAAGTGGGTTGGAGATCAGCCTATAATTAGTTAAGACAGCTAGGTGAAGTATATGGGTTTTTAAGTAACAGCTTAATTACCGCTAATTTGAAGCCCCGTGGTACATAACCGACTAGTAGTGATAGGCTGATCATATTTAAGATTGAAACACAAATTAATGTTAGGACTTCTTTAAGCAGTCTTGTAGAACTGGGTTCTAAAAGACATGTTGATGGTTTGGAGGAAGTGATTACTTAAATGTAATGAGAAAGATCAATTGGAGAAAAAGACCCTGCCTCTTGCCCTATAGCAGCTGGATAGGCTGCAAATTCCCACAGCCCCGATAAGTGGAAGAGAATGGATGAATTGGAGGTAATTTTTGTTGTGTTGTTTACATTTTTAGGACACAAACATAATGACATAGTCAAATAAATCTGGGTATCATCAGCATAGCTGTGATAAGACAACTTATCAACTAACTCCTGAAAGATTTCACAAAAAGGAACCATATGCAGATTCAATAAGAGGGCCCTGTGATTTGTCCTTGTAAGACTCCACACAGCATCATGGTGTTGTGTGATTAGTTTGCATCACTGTAGACAAATGATCCCTACCTTCAAGGTAAACAAACTAAGGATTTTTCCTGTGAGACCAAATTAATTTTCTAACTATCATGATCTATACTAGGGCCGCAACGATTCGCTGAGTAACTGGACTAATCCTCAACTAGGGTGGGCGATATAAACGATATACGATAGAAACGATATAAATTTGGCCAACGATAGAGATTTTCACTATATCGCTCTATCGCGATAGCGCATGTTGATGATGTCATCAAGCTGCGCCTGTTTTGGTCGAAAGCATCGCAGCGGCTAAAATCATTATCATCTGCAAATTATACCGACAGTCATAGCAAAGAGATGAAGCACTTTTGAAATATGGGGAAAGCCAAAAACTGCGCTTCCTCCACTTCCGTAACATTGATTCATTATGTTGAATTCTCTCGCAGCTGTTCTATTCCCATGTTGTTGCAGTATATTAATAACTAACCTCGTATTGTGGATGAATAATCTCAGTTGTTCTCCTGACTGATGTTTGGCCCGTGTATAGCATCCTGCTATGCGATTGCATTTGTCCCTGACCACCAGAATCCCTCACGTTAAATTTTAATGAGTGGAAAAAGTTGGCGTTCATCCTCCAGCTTCACTGTGCTAATGTTATGCTAACATAGCTGTGTCGGTAGCAATCACGTAGCACAACATGTTTGGGTGGAATCTAACGAGCTAACTTCCTGTTAACTTCTAACTCCGTTAAATGTAATAAATTCTGTTTTCATGGATGCATGGATGTTAAACTTAATTGTTACACCTGGTAGAGCAACAACGCTGATGATTTTATTAAAGATGAAAGAATTTAGACCGTTTTTAACTCTCAGTATTCGTTTGACTTTGGGACCTGAAGTGGACGGAGTTTTGGACCCAGATTACTCCACAAAGCTCCTCACTACAGCAGCCGTAATGCTCTGACAATCCATCAAGCAGTGCGGCTTACCAAAGTTGTACTAAAACATTTTGAACAGATTTCTGCACGCCAAAATCGGTTCGAGGTCAGTAAGCACAACCAGAATTCATACATAAGGCACACTCTCGATTTTTGAGAAAATTAAAGGATTTTAAGTGTGGCTTATAGTGTGGAAATACGTTATACAGAGAAAAGAATATATCGCGATATATATCGTTACTGCACGTGCTTCAAATTATATCACGATATGAATTTTAGGCCATATCGCCCAGCCCTATCCTCAACACAAAATTCTTTGATTTTTGTGCACTTTGCAGCACACTGTTACGGATTCAAATATTGGGGATGGATTCAAGAGGAAAAACCACAATAACAACACTGGTCCGGCCGGGTTGAGTCAAACGATGATTTTAATGATCACACGCTTGGGAGATGGACACCGTACACAGACAGCCTCAGATCTCAAAATGGTGGAGCATTGATCAAACTCTTATAACCTCTGGTTCTCCCACCTTATCATAAAAGCCTAAACATTCACATTCTTTCTCTCACACGGCGCCTAAGCTACGACCTTGGCTCCCTGTTTATCTGCTCCTGCTGAGATGGGGCAGAAAACTCCAGCATGTTCTGTTCTCTTCTAATCAGACAAATAAGACGATGACTTTCTGCGAACAGTATTTCTTATAACTCAGCAGTATAATGCATCATAAAACAATATCATTCATTCACAATAAATCAGCAGTCTACTTTAATGCAAATCAGTTTAACAAATGCAATAGTTATCAGCTTCTTCTAATTCAGGAGAATAATGCAAACTAAAACTACATAATAATTCACAATCTTTAATTAGGGGTCTAACATGGCATAAAATAATATTACAATCCCATTACAGCATAATCACTATACATACACTTCCAGCCCAAGGGAGTGAGACAGACTATGTGTGAGGCGAAAATGTCAGATTACTCAGCAAAAAGATCACCCATCTTTTATTGGGTGGACAGGTGTGACTGTGTGTCACTAAGTCACATTTAAATAGTTGTCTGACCTGACTCCACCAATCAGAAACAGCTTGTTTGTGATTGGTTCATTTGTTTACTTCTTTACACAGAAATGCAGAGAAACTCTTGCTTACTTACCCGAGATTAAGACCTTTCCACATTAAAACTATAACACTCGGTGACAAGTTTTCACATTGTAAACAGAAAGAGATCATTCTACTAATAAGAGTGCCAGAACTAAACGATAACTTGCGTCAGTGCTCAAATAATTTGTCAAATTTTGTACACTTTAAATTTCACTTGTATATGTGAGACACATTCTCACTGTGGAGAGACCTGTTAATGTTTCAGATCAGAACATATTTTCTCAAATGTTTGTTTTTCTGTCACCCCCACCCCTACATTTGTCTTTTCAGACCTCCAACAGCAACATGTCATTGAGAAGGAGGAGGTTCTTACAGACCAACAGGTCTGTATCCAAGAAAGGAACTCCAGTCTGACTGAGGAGGACCCAGAGCCTCCACAGATTAAAGAGGAACAGGAGGAAGTGTGCAGCAGTCAGGAGGGAGAGCAGCTTGGACTGAAGCAGGAGACTGATGCCTTCATGGTGACAGCCGCTTATGAGGAAAGTGCACACACTGAATCAGAAACAAACGTTGAGCATCTCCTTTCTCACAGCTTTCCTGAAGCAGAGAGCCGAGATCAGAAAGCAAGCCAGCATGTGGACTCAGGATCAACTAGAAATGCAGAGCTGAAGAAGAGGAGACATCACAGCAACGGAAGTCACAGTCAGAGAGTAGACAACCCTGCTGTTTCAGAGAATCAAAGTAAAACTGACACAAAGAAAAAGTCTCTGAAATGTGACGTCTGTGGAAAACATTTTCAGTTTAAATGTCACCTGAATGCACATCTCAGAATTCACACAGGTGAGAAACCGTATTCTTGTAGCACCTGTGGGAAACAATTCCGTCAGATATCAGCTTTGAAAAATCATGGTAACTGTTACACAGGTGAAAAACCATATCCTTGTAGCACTTGTGGTAAAAGATTTTCCTATAAATCACATCTTGAGTCTCATGCAAGGATTCACACAGGTGAGAAGCCCCATATCTGTACCGTTTGTGGGAAAAGATTCAGTCGGCGTGCACATTTGTATTATCACTTAAAAATTCATACAGGTGAGAAGCCGCATCTTTGCAGCACCTGTGGGAAAGGATTCAGAGAGAACTATGAGTTGCAACGTCATGTAAGAAGGCACACTGGTGAGAAACCGTATTCCTGTAGCTTTTGTGAGAAAAGATTCAGTCATCTCGGACACGCAAAGAGACACATGAAAATCCATACTGATTAAAGTTTCATGCTTAGAAAATGTTGGACAGCTGTGAGTGGTCCTGCCATTTTTGTTTTTGTAAATTAGCCTCGTGGTCAGCACTGACATATGGAGGCACTGCTCTTCATTTACCTGTTCCCATGGTGAATTGTGATATTGGAGCTCCATTAATGATGGCTTCCTTTCTCTACTCTGATCAGCTGTTTTGGAACCAAACACTCAAAAGCCTGTTTTGAAATTAGTAGCTACTTGGATCGACTTCCCACAACTTGACTGGTTTTCCACTACAATCCGGTACTATCTAATGTGAGTGGTTGTTGTCATAGCACTCGTCCCGCAGTGTAATCAATACGCAACATGAAACCTACAAAAAGAGTTTATTTCGAAGCAGGGATTTACAGTGGGGCAAAAAAGTATTTAGTCAGCCACCGATTGTGCAAGTTCCCCCACTTAAAATGATGACAGAGGTCAGTAATTTGCACCAGAGGTACACTTCAACTGTGAGAGACAGAATGTGAAAAAAAAATCCATGAATTCACATGATAGGATTTGTAAAGAATCAGGTCACAGTACCTGATACCAGGTACTGTGACCTGGTACCAGATGGAAAACCTTGGCAAATTGTGCCAAGTTGATCCAAGTAGGTACTAATGGAAAAAGGGGCTAAGGTTTCTGATCTCAGAATTAATCAACTTTTGAACATGCTTCCTGCAATAGTTAAGTTTATCACCTCATTATTAAAATGTACCAGGAAAACCATGATCATACATTTCATGATGGTTAAGGTTCAGTATCCTCTTGTTCTGTTTGATCATTGTTTAGGTTTAGTTTTAGTGTTTGCTTTGTGTTCCTAAAGTTTAAATAAAGTTTTGTTTAAATTTCTTTTGAGATTTTATTTCTGAGGTGTCATTTTTAATGTTTGCAAGACGCATAAAAAAAGGATTCTGCCATATTATGCACAAGATTTTTCTTTGTTTCTGATGTTTTATACTAATTTAGAAATTCATGTAAACATAAACTGTAAAGAGCTGTGCTCCAGCAAAATTCTACATCTGTTAGCAAACTGGTGTTTTTTTTTGTTGTCATTGTTGTAAAAACCAAACGTGACTTCAGCTGTTTCAGCTAAATCCTCCTCTGCTGAGAAACCTCTGAACCACGAAGATGCTTTCTTCAGCTTCACTTGGAGCATATAGCTACCGTGGACTGTATCGTGTAACATGATGTCTGAGTCTGGATGTGTGTGGTTATGGTGAACCTGCCTCCTGTTGATTATGAAACATTCACACCACAAATATCATTGGCAACAAAAATGGGAAGGGGAAAAAAACTAGTCAGTAAAGTGGTCGCCCCATGATCGGAAGGTCGGCGGTTCGAATCCACTTAACGGCTACCCTGAGGTACCCCTGAGCAAGGTACCGTCCCTACACACTGCTCCCGGGCGCCTGCTTAGTGGGCTGCCCACTGCTTCACTGAGTGAATGGGTCAAATGCAGAGAAAAACAAGTAATTTCCCCATGGGGATCAATAAAGTATCCATTATTATTATTATTATTATTATTAAGTAGTAGATCGCTTGTAATTAGTGAATGCTTTTTTTCTAGCTTTTGACTATGGAGGACCACAAGAGCCTCACACAATAATAATATAATAATAATAATAATAATGACTAAAAACTGATTTTCAAAAGGTTGTTTTTTAAATTGCGATTCACAAGGTTTGAATCAGGGAAATGTTGCCTCAGTCAGTAATGTTATAATTCTGATCATTTATCAGCAGAGATGGGCAGTAACGTGTTAAATGCGTTACTGTAATCCGATTACTTTTTTCCAAGTAAAGTAAGGGATTACTATTGCAAAAACGGTAATTAGATTACCATTACTTTCCCGTAAGCACTGTGTTACTAAAACCGTGATTTTTTTTAATTTTTATTTTTGCAAGAATGTCTCATGACAGAGACGTATGCGAGTGCGACGGTCGTGACAACAGCTAAGAGAGATAAGATAAGATAAAACTTTATTAATCCCTCGGGTGGGTTCCTCTGGGAAATTAGGTTTCCAAAGCACAGCACTGACAGAAGTTACAGAATATTATATATACACACACATATAAATACAGAGACATATATAAATAAAATATACGAAGGGATAAACAGAATAAATAGGTATAAAAATAAAAATACAAGTGAATTGCACATTTCAAGTATTGAGTATTGTAGTAGCTGTGTGCAGATCAACAATCGATAATATATCGAGTGCGGGAGAGAGTATGAGCGTGCAGCGTTTAAAGCGTGGAAGTACTGACCTTACTTTGAGTTTGATTCCATAAAAAGTGACAAAAACATTAGCGTCCATTGTGCGTGGGAAGAAAAAATCGCTTCTTTTTACAGCGAAAAAAAACCCCTAAACTTCCAAGCAAGCACCGAGTGCGCTACCACGTAATGGGAAACTCACAGAGAAACTCGCGGATTCTTTAACTGACCGCTGCGGCACACCTGCACCAGGATAAACCGCTTACTAATTAGATTTTAAAGTGCACCTGCACCAGGGCAAACCTCCGCCTTCCCCACTCCTGCTATACAGGTGAAAATAGAGCAAAAGGACCGCTAGTCTTTGATTTTATTTATTTTCTACTGTGTGTTACTTGCATCTATTTGAAAGACTGAGTGTAAACACAAAAAAATATTGTTATTTTATGTGCTGGAATGTGCAGAAAATAGGTTTAAATTTTAAACAAATTTCTTCCAGTCAGAGAATGTTGCATATAATAAAAAATTTTAAAAGATTAAAACTAATAAAACAAGTTTTAAAAAGAGACGTTTCCATTTGATTACATTTTGAATGATGGATTATGCAGAAAAAGTAGCGCTGGGCTGAAAGATCTATCACTTTATCACATATTCAGGTTGTAAATCATGTTTTTAAAAAGTAAATAAGTAATTACTTTTGAAAATAAGTAATCAGTAAAGTAATGGGATTACTTTTTCGGGGAAGTAATTAGTTACTGTGATTTTTAAAATGGTGGAAGCCAAACAGTAAAAGTAAGAGGGAATTCATGATGATATTTATGTGAAGCTTACTTTGGAGCTTTTTTTTTTTTTTTGGCCTGTCCCGTTTGGCTCTTTTGCCATCAGAATTGTTGTCTAAAGGCAAAGAAAGATGCCCAACGGATTTACTTTACCAAATTGACCATCCCAGCCTTGCCGTAATGGTCCATTTGATTCACCTTTTATTGTTTATTTTATTTTCACTTACTGAATACGGGACAGACTTGACTGGAGGAAAGAAGGGGAGAAAGAAAGAGGGAAAGAGAAACAGCTGAGAAGAGGGACGGGGGAGAAGGGCAAAAGACAAAAACCAACAGAACGGGCAGAGAAAAAAATGCATATATCAATCACCTGGATCACCTGCTGAGAAAGAAAAAAGAAAGCAAGCAGAAGAGAACAAGAGTAATAGAATAAACAACATCACAATGATATATGGGAATATGACAGTAAATACTAAATATTAAACATTATTGTGCAGCACATAAGATCAACAGCACACAGTGTGCTTTGAGGTAGGAGCCAAAAAGGGTGTAGTTTGTGGGTGTGATCACCCGTGTGTACACCTGTGAGCATGGACGCGCTTGTTTTTTGTTTTTTAAAAGGTTCCTTCATGTAATAATCTGCTAGAGGGTGTGGGGGGGCCACAGCCCCGTCCTTCAGGGCATGAAGCAGGTATGGAGGAGATCAAAACTCCAGACATCCAGAGGCCCCCAGAACACAAGAGACCATGGAAGACCAACAGAGGGGCAGCTGCGCCACTGTCCCAGAAAGAGCTGAGGAGAGTCCCAGATGAGGGCTCACTCAGCAGCCGCGGAGCACAAGCCAGGGGGAGTTGCAGTGACGCGCCCGTGAGCTCCGCCGGCAGCCAGCCGCGCCTGAGTGACCGAGCCCCAGGCCGAGAGGCCGGGGGCACCCCACCTCCGAAGTGGCCCGAGCGAGCCCCAGGCTCCAGGCCCCGATAAGCGGCCGCCAAGGAGTGAGCCGGTGTGTACCTGGACGCCCACCCCCAGACACAAAGAACCACCAACGCACCGATGTCTGAGGGAGTCCGCCACTGGCAGGGGAAGTGGTGGTAGGGGGAGATAGGCCTCCAAACCTTGGAGGGCCTGAGATGTCCCCAGAGAGGTGGTGCCTGACACCCAACCTGACATATAGACACAGACATACAGGCACACACAGATACAAACATCCATTCCCACCCTCATGCTCTCATATGCACTTACTCCACACTCAACCAACGTGGAGACAGACATAAAGAGACGTTGTACACACGATCACACTCCCCAAGCGTACTCTACAAACCGGGTCTAGGTGCCCCCGCCCCTGGAGGGGGGAACTGCACCCAGACCCAGGTGGTGTTACCCTTTTCCCTGCGGTGGGGAGAGGCAGACCGCCCCGACTCCGCAGCAGCAGGGAGGCCCCACACTCCAGACCGCAGTCGGACGGCCAACTCCTCCTCTTAGCTCCCCCGCTCCAGCAGGTCGCAGAGAATGGGGGTGAGAGAAGACTCCAAACCCCCCTCCACCCGCTCATTGTAATGTTGATGCATGTGTGTTCTAAGGTGCATTTAAAACCCAGGAGGGCATGGAGCTACCTGCCAGAGAGCAGCAGGTAAGCGCATGGTCCCTCCTGCTAGCCCTCAATGTCTACGTGTATTTAACATTGAGAGGTGGGCAACGACGCCAGGGGTGGGGTGTACACCCTGATGGTACTTTGGACTCCGTGTATCGTGCCCACCCCCAAGATCCTATATGTATGTGTAATGAGAGTGTGAGTAATGTGAATGTCTAAGTTGTGGGATAAAATTGAGGCAGAGGCAGCCAGAAGGGGACAAAGGGGGGGGGGGGGGGGGGGGGGGGGGGGTAGCCTCCTCTGCACCCTGGTGACATACCCCTACTCCAAGGTCCTGCATGTGTGGGTGGTTGTGGTGAAGCGGGAAGAGGGAGGCAGCTGGAGATGGGGAGGGAAGGAAGGGAGGGGCAAGTGACCCTTCCCTGGGGCCAGCTCCCCCCGCTGACCCCAGTAGGCACCCCCATACTCCGCGACCCGCCAGGGAAAGGGGGCCCAGGCCCATCCAGACCGGGGCCCAGCACAGCAGCGCCTCCCGGCCCCACAGAGCCCGGGACAGTCCTCCCAACCCCACCACAGAGAAAACTGCACCCACCCCACCATCCACTCATCTTCCAGACTACATAAGACAATAAACACCCAGGCTGAGATCTTCCTCCACCTCTCCTGTATACTTTGGAGCTTCTTTTGCTGCTGGTTCAGTCAATTTTGATTGGAGAGTGATGAAACTTGAAGCTTCAGAATCTAGTGCAAAAAACACAAACAC